CTCGTTTATCGCTTTTAGCACGCAATTCCTAGAAATCTTTTTGCCCAAACATTTCTTGGAAATTGACATGCTAAATGTTTTCATAATTCAATTAATCTTAATTAGTATTGGTTTATGTAGGTTTGTTTATGTTATGAATTGAAAAAGGAAACCCTCAAATATAATTTGCTATATTTCTACATACATATGTACTTATTAAAACTGAATAGTATTAGGCAATATAGCCTGTTATCAAGCAACATTGGAAGAGAGGAGTAAAAAGAGCCTGTGGTATAAAAATATTTGATTGTGTAACTGCATTGCTTCCTTTAATAAATTAAACCAATAACCATTTAAGATCATTGAATTTCAATATACATATTATTATCCCACGTTTTCCAAAATTAATAAGAGCTTTTGTGCATTGAATAGAAAATGCCGAATCTCTAAAATCTCTTCGCATTGTGTGGTTTTTGAAATAACCCGATTTACTTTCCCTTCAATTTAGGCAGTTTCCATATATGAGCAACCGATATCCGTATTGTTTTTTCCAGTGTGAAATGTACTTGGTTTTACGGGGTACTCCACATAGCAACCTACGTAACTATTTGGATTGATAACAGTTATTTGGTGAATATTATTCGAAATGTACTTTTTATCTGTCGTACCAGCTTAAGAACAAATGGTTAAGCACATTGGAATTTTAATCTATGATAGACGACATGTGTAACCGATCATTACTGAGTCATTACAAGATTTTAGAAATATAGGAAATCGGATTACGTGTCTGAACCACTGTGCATTCGGAGCAAGTGGCAACTAAGCGCCTGACTCGGTTTCACTGGCTACGACTCTACGGCTGGTGTTACGAGTGTGTTTAAGTATGTATGTATGTGAGTAGCCCTGCCCCAGACAGACAGACATGCCGGCTGCTGACTATCATTTGACTGTTCCAATATACACGACAACGACTTGACGGTCGTTCCCTGGCCAAGTGACTCACATGGCTTGTCTGCGTGGTTGTTGCCTACATGGCAGGCATTGTCTCTGCGCTGGGGACGTTTATCTGGTATTTTGTTAAGTTTCGGTTTCCATTGAAAGTTGCTCTTGCTCATGCGGGTACGAATTTCATCATAGTCGTAAATAAAGTTTAACGAGAAATGCGCCATATTCTTGGTAGTATATGAAAAGGCGCATTTATAATACATACAGACATACACACATATGTTTGTATTTATGTATGTATACTTGTATTTGTATATCCGTTTGTATAAAAAATTATCAGGCGATTGACTGCAAAAGAAGCGATCAGATCATGTCATTCCCCATTATTCATACGCATCGTTGACTGCACAGTAGTTGCTGGGCAAGCGAACTGCTTATCTCACGTGCTAGTCATAAACTGTAAATGTATGTACATATGTATGTACATACATATGTATTTTTTCTTCGATTTTTGTCGCTTGCGGATTTCGCAGAGAAGATATTTTAAAACGTCTGCGTTGCATTAAAAGCAGTTATCTGACAACCTTTTAAAATGTTTAATTTTTTTAATCCCTTCTAACATTTTTCATAATATAAATAAATTATTTCCATTTACCTGTTTTGTAACACGGCCAATATTTTAAATTTTTGTAAAATTTGTCATACAAATATCTATCAATTGTGTCATTAATAAATTAAACAACTAACTACAATTTTTAATAACCTAGTTAATCAAAATTTGTTAAAGTTACTAGCCTTTTAATAATAAATGCATGCGGATTAATTTTTCAGTAATTGCATAAATTATATTCATATGTACATACTTACATTTATATACATACATATGTATGTATGTATCTATAAGATACTGCTTCTCGATTAATTATGCTATGGGTTTTTCTATCAATTAAAGATGTGTTCCAAAAGTTTTAGAAAGGATTGTGACAATTCGATCAATTTATTTAACAATTGTTTAGATTTTGTATTTTTGTATAGTTTTGTGATATTCTACGGTCAAAACATTCGATATTACACTGTATGTGCATACATACACACACTTGTTCATACATACATATGTATGTATGTATGTAAATGTTTTAATGTACTTTCCATATTCATGTTATCGGTCGAAATTCATGACTTGCCTCTAGCGCGCTTTCCATTTCTATGCCGATGCCTTGCCGACACATTGTCTGCTCGCTGTTGTTGTTTTTGTTGCGACCAATTCGTCGAATTGCAAATTGCCGTTAGTTAACGGTGCATACAAATTGAATTGCATTGCTTGCCTCTGAGCACTCCCATATGGAGTGTGAGTGCCTCTGTGTGTGTGTGTGTATACACAAACACACACACACCATATTCATTGCTAATCACACTGAACGTCCCATTCCAGCTAAATGCGCATTTAATTTATTCTCACTAAAAGGAATTACGGCCTGGAACTCTGACTCCGCTTAGTTTTCCGTTGTACTCGACGGGGGCGATCACATTTCCGGGAAGTGGTTTCATGTTTTCTTTTTATTATTATTTTTTTTTTTATATTTTTAGTTTTTGGAACTCATGACCATGCATGCACGCCCCGCTTGTCGTTTTATTGTTAATTGTTTAATGAGCAATATTATTGTGAAGTGTGTGTTTTTCACTTGATTGGACAGAAATGCAATTAAGTGGGCTGTGTGAGCAAAAAGCTTTGATTGCTCAGTTGTCAGTTCGGTTGAAACGGTTACAGCCTTGGAAATATGGCTATGGCCATGCCAGTCGGTGCTGATGACGACAAGCGTCTAATGTATAATTTTCCATAAATGGCTGCAGGTGCTTTTGCCACATTGGCGAGCTGACTCAGATTTTTGGGAAGTATGATTCGAGGGCTTGTCATAGATTGTACCCTATCTTCTAGCATGACGCATATAACCATTACAGACGAGCCTACGAATCACCCGACAAAAGAATAAAGTACCTATTGATAACATTATGACAAAGCGATCAAAGACGTACATACATATGTACATACTATTTCTCTATAGTTAAATTGATGAATTGTAGAACTAAATTAAGTAGCGTTTTAAATGCAATTAAACACCTCATTGAAATGTTATAAAATTCGAAATTTTGCTGCTTGCGATCGACACTAATTCTTAACAGTGATCAGTTGATATACGGTTCTATCTACATTTCTGTGTAAATTAGCACTCAATTACAAATTAATGTGTTTCTCAATTCGATCAAATTATGTACATATGTATGTATGTATGTGAAAACGAAATTGTTCAATATAATTTCCAAATATGTACATATGAACATATTTTATTAGGCCTTCAAACTTTTCCACAAATCAATTTCGAAATCGAGCAATGACAAATTTCGATTACGCACAACTGCCTTGAGTGAAAGAGGTTTGATCAATAAATCTGATTTATAAAAATTCCCTTTTAAAGAATTACGCCTGTAATGCGGTTTTGATTCAATGGCAGTTAGTAAAATTCAAGGAATTTCGAACATGCAATACTAACACCACAACTAAAGTTGATTTGAAACACTTCTGGGAAATTAAAACTGCGAAAGAAACTGCAAGAAGCAGGAAGTCGTTGATATAAACAAATAGGCCAATGATATTTCCTTTAGCAGTAGGGAAATGTTAATCAATGAACAAGCACATTTTTACCCAAAGTTGATTTTACAACTTCAATTCATGTTCGAGGAAATGAGAATCGCACAAGAAAGCTTAAGAAACAGGAAGCTCTCCTGTACTGTGTTAAAAATCGTTCACTTTGTACAGTATATATTTACATACATAAATACATATATGTATGTACATATGTATGTAGTTAAAAGCAAAGTTGTGGTATTTCCAATGAGAAGTAAAAGGCAAATAGTTTTTACCCTAGTGGCAATCTTTTAGGAAAAGTTGTCTTATCGTTTTTAGCAATATTCTCTATGTAATACAAAGAACTTCACAGTACAAGAGCCTCAATTCGCAACTGCGAATGAATAACTAGAATTTCTCATGAATGAGCTGAAAATTTTCCAAGAGACTTATAATGGAGGGAGGGGTGTGAAGCGGGCGCTCAAGCACGTAGTCAGTCAGGCATTCAGGCAGCCCTGGTGCCTGGTTTCGAGTTGCAATCATTTGTTAAATTGTTTGATTTTTCAATGCCTGCCACGCGACGCAGCTGCCTGATGATAAGCAGGTGACCTAGAAAATCACTCTCTTTCCGTTTGTATGTGGAAATATTATGTGCATTTCATTTGCTTGGAGATTCTTAGTAGATGTTGTTGTTGAGATTAATGATGATGTTATTATTGACTAAAAATAGCGCAAATTTCAGTGCGGCTGACGTTGCAGCTGGTGCGTGGGATTGGCATGCTATGAATTCACAGAATCCCAGGGTCATACATACATACATAAGTATGTACGTAACTACATATTTATAGACCACACATTCATATAATTTTTTAAATGAGGGGCCCTACTAAAATGCATAAAGTGTTGAGCTGTAGGTTCGGGTCATAAAAGCTACAGAACTGCAGATTCCAAGCGTGGGCGTTTGCATTACGAAGTGCCTGTTTGTTTAATTGTCCATTGACCGCGAGCAGACCACTTGCCAAGCAACTTCTTCACTTGAGTAGACCGACTTAATTAAAGTGCCAACAGGCCCAGGCCCAGGCCTTCCTTCAGTCTTTCTCTCAATCGCATTGTTGTAGGTCAAGACTTTTCACACGCCTCACAGTACAGAAGCAGCTGTGACTAAGCTTTGTGTTGAATTGAAAGTTCACATTATTACTATTGTTCTCACCACTATACAGCTTGTGTTGGTAGAGTAAATTTCTCCGTAGTAATTAAGTGTTCTTGATGTAGCTTAAAAGGACCTTTTTTAACAGCTCCTTTAAGTGTTATAAGGCAGTTAAATCAATCATATTTCACTTCAAATTTCTAATTTAAAACTTTCCAATGCATTTCTTCCTATCTGCGTTTTAATTATTGTATATTCCTATTATCAAATAAACTTAAACGTGCCTTTCCATCTTAATCCTTGCAGAAGATCCTTAAATTGCAATAGACAGCAAATCACTTCCGATGGGGCATAATTTGAGCAAATCAACAGCCAGTGACGTCGTTGCCAGAAAAGATAAGTCCAAGCGCGCATCCTCCTACACAAACGATATTGAAATTAAACGCACGGACACAACCCCGCCCACAATCAACTTGGAAATTGCACGGAGCGAGCAGCAATTGTCTCAGACTCGAACAGCAGCTCGTCGAGCAACAACGCCACCTGGCAGCTTGGATTCCGCGGAAGTGCGTCAGATCATAATCAAAATACAGTTGGCGAAAATGGAGAATGGCAATGATGAAGGGCAGCAACAGCAGCAGCAGCAGGATGTGGAGGCCGTCGCATTGTCTACCACAGATAAGCTCAATGCAAATATGGCAGAGCAGAAGCCGCAACAGAATCAAATAATAAATGTGACGCTCAATGGAACTGCGGGCGGTTCAATGGAAGCGTCCCGAGGCGCTGACAGACTCTTGAATAACAACAATTTAGCGGGAAGTGATGCGTCGGCGTCGGCAACAGCGGCGGTTAGCACGCTACAATTGCACGATAACGACGATGTTGGGGCTGACGACGATGACGTAGTCGATGAGTCGCTGCTACGCCGTCGTCGTAGCAGCAGCGCCGAGGGCGTCGATTACTGCGAGGTGCTCGAACCGACGCCAGTAGCCGAAATGTGGTCGAACGGAGCACAACAGTGGGCGCAAGGTAAGCGAAAGCAGCAAAGAAAAGTTGTGAATAAAACCGAAAGCAATAGAGAGCGGTCCGAATCAACAAGCTACATAATTATTTGCACTTCTGTATAATATGCCTTGTAATATGAATATCAAATATTAAAAGGGGCATTTACACAAAAAGTCAACTTATTTAGATTTGGGAATGAGAGTAATCCTAAGGGAACTTATTATAAACAGCCGACAAGAAGTGTTCTGCAGTGAGGTTTAGAAACAGGTTGTTTGAGGAGTGTTGACCACGAGTCGGGGACAAAGCCCCCCTTCCTTAATTTAAATTTGTTTGTATGAATCGTGAAACTGCGGTTTCTTTTTCGGTCGCTGATTACGAATCTATCTATAATTTATGCTAATCTAATTACCTTATCGTGTGTTTGCAGCGCCAAACACTGGAAACAGTTGCTGTCGCAGTCGGAGTAGCAAAGCAGCATTAACAATTGGAGCGAGTGCAACACCAACAACCACATCTAAGCGTCGCTGCTGCAAATGTAAGTGTCGTGCTGTTTTCAACGGACTGCGTGGCATGTTGGAGTCAAGCTCATCGTCCTCCGCGGCTGTAGCGAAGCGTACCAGCAGCAAGGAGAGGCGAGACAAGAAGTCTCGCAGCAGCAGCGCCGCAGCCGTTGGTGCCGAGCATAACCATAGACGTTCCACGCCCCCCACATTGAGTTCAGCACCACGTGCGGCTCCAGCGCAAAGAAGACAGCGCAATTCGGTGGCTGTTCCCGATGCAACAGCGGCAACCAACCAACTGGCCATTTGGACAGCGCCCTCCGGCGATGGTAATGTGGGCGATGTCATTATACGCATCAGTTCGCCGCAGTTTGTTGTGCAACCACTTGTTGCCGGTTGCCCTGGTGCCGGTTGTAGTGATTGCACCTCCCCGATTGTGTCGGTTTCGCGACTGAGCAGCAATAACAGCGATGCCACAGTCCCAACAACTGCGGCGGGTCCCGCAATACGTCTCTTGGCACCCCCAGCAGCTGCTGGGGAGCCCCTACCTGTCCCATCCACCAGCCACCACATGCTGCCCGCGCATCCCAACGAGGTGCAAAGAATGCCAGTACCGCCTACAGTGGCCACCACCGCCTATGGGAATGTGATTGTGCACTCACAGATCGATTTTAGGCATTGTCTGGTGCCCGATCTGGAGCGGATCATTAATTCCAGCTTCTATTGGGGCAAGATGGATCGGTACGAGGCGGAGCGATTGCTTGAGGGCAAGCCGGAGGGAACGTTCCTATTACGCGATTCGGCGCAAGAGGAATACCTCTTCTCGGTCACATTCCGCAAGTACGGGCGCTCACTGCATGCGCGAATCGAGCAGAGTGGACATAAGTTTAGGTAAGTTTTAAGTTATTTTTGATTATAGAGAATATCCTCCATACACCAACTCTCCTTAAAAATATTTTAATTAGTTGTTGAATTCATTTTAATGTAATTTTCTTGTTTTTTTACAGTTTCGATTGCCACGATCCGTGCGTATTTACGGCGCCTTCCGTCACCGGCCTGTTGGAGCATTACAAGGACCCCTCTTGCGTTATGTTCTTTGAGCCTTGCCTGACCATGCCGCTACATCGACGCCAGACTTTCTCGCTTCAGCAGCTGGCGCGTGCCACCATTGTCTCGAATACCACATACGATGGCATCAATCAGTTGGAGCTGCCGTGCCGTCTTAAGAGCTACCTCAAGGAGTACCACTACAAGCAGAAGCTGCGTGTTAAGCCGTGTGACATGCACACGCCCTATTATACCAACATATAGTCCACGGCTGAGGCGGCCCTGCAGCAGCCGAGCCATAGGCGACAGCTGCAGCCACGCCTTTTGCCGCCACCCATACCACCGCCGCCTGCGGGCTTTACGTATTACGAGGATATAGACAGTACTAGTGATCCAGATGGAGACGATGACGATGATGATGATGCGGTCAATGTACGCGTCTCATATGTACAGCATGCTGAGGTTGTTGCGCAATTGCGAGAGTGTGGGACGACAACAGCGAATCTGCGTCGTCGTGCCAACTTGCAGCAGCATTTGTGGCGTTTGCCTCAGCGCGTAGCGTCGGCCCTCGGACGCATGTCCTCCAATCTCAATTGCTATCAGCCGACGGCGCTGCAGCGCAACAACCGCGGCACCCAGACAAACAACACAAAGGGCGCCTGAAGCTAAATTCTAGCTTCAATTATACTAATACTTGAGACAATCCCAGTGCGTCACGCCATTTCCGCGCTCAGACACCAAAACAAATAATCATAAAAATAGCAAACAAAAACTTAGAAAAAAAAGTAAATGCTTCCCGAAACATTTACATGTTTAGCAGTAATTCAATCCAATCAACCAACAAAGCAACAAAGTTCGAAGCCTATATGTGTAAAAGTACATTAATTAAGTGTAACACAACTTACTCAACTCCAAATCCAACTACTATATAGTAAACAACTCATTCTGCATTTGTGTTTATACAGTTTTGTAAAAGTGTTTTTATAATAATCCAATTTAAAATTGACTTGTTAGTATTTTTTGTAAAAACCTATTTATTTGAAATGCATTTTTATGTAATTTTTATTACACATGTACAAAGGAAATCATATATAATTAGTGGTAACTACTCTCATTAGCCAAATTGAAAGGTTATTACGATTAATTTAGTGCTCTATTTATTTATTCTAATTAGTTATGAAATTAAATTACCCTGCGCGTGCTGATTACAAGGTACGATGTAAATATCAAATTGTATTACATAGCCTTAAGAAAAAATTATATAAATTATATACATACTCCTACGCTAGGTGGTTGCTGTTGAATAGTAAACGTAAATTGTAAAACTATGCAGTTGTTTCAAAAAAGTATAAAATATTACATATCGGAACGTTGTATGGATATAAAAGAAATATAAATAAAAATAAAAAACAAACAGCATGATGTTGATATAAAAACTAGAAACAAATGCGCTTTTCATTTGAAAATTACCAATTTTTTTTTCCAAAACCCAATTAGAATACATCACGAATTGGTCCAGTTCAGTTGAGTACACAAAAAGCCGTTAATTTTAACTAAGTGGCAACGCTGTCTTCGTGTATTCGTTATATAGATGGCACTTCGCATATTTTTATCGATAGTTGCATTAGACTTTGCAAAGGTATCGAGTGTGTCGAGAAAAAAGAAGCAGAGACGTAGATAGAAACATTTGAGGAATAAAGTTGTTTAGTAAAACACACGTCGTTCGTAACATACGCTCACCACAGCTGCTGGCGCTGGCGTGTGTTAGAATCGCAGCAAGTGAATGATAGCTTTGAGCGCACTATTAACCAAATACACGATCGGTATTATGAGCAATTTAAGCAATGGAAATCAACAGCAGAATCAGCCTCAACAACAGCAGCAGCAAGCACAGAATCAGAATCCAAATGCTAATGGTCAGCCCCACGAAGCGGGTGCGGTTGCGATAATTGAACCAATTGCTGGAGCAGGTGCTGGGCTCGGAGTTGTCATCGGAGGTGGTGGGGGCATCGGTGCAGCGGCGCAGCGACAACGCCAAATGCTGCAACAACCACAACACCATCAACAAAATCCCGCAGCAGAGGGCAGCGCCTTAGACCGTGGCAGTTGCCTGCTGCGCTATGCCAGTCAAAATTCCCTGGACGAAAGCTCGCAAAAGCACATCCAGCGACCCAATGGCAAGGAGCGAGGAACCGTGGGTCAATATAACAATGAACAGCACACCATTCGCTCCTTTGACGCCATGAACGAGATGCGCAAGTGAGTGGGCAATATGTGTGGGCAGGTGGAAGTGTCAATGTGTCAGTGTGATCCCAGACAACAATTGGCCAAAAGCCATTTGCGAAAATATGCAAAAATAATCGCTTAAATGTCATGCGGTCGCCACTCGGCGCATTTTAATATTTGCGCATTTAGCTTCGCTACGTTTTGTTTGAACGTTTGTTTGTCTGTCCGTCCGTCCATTTGCTTGTCTATTTATATTTGCTTTTGTCAAGAGGCCATTCGCATTAATTTCTACGTTTGTGTTAACTTATTACGATATGAATCCATTTTTGATTTACTGGTCGTTGTTTTTGTTTGTCTGCCCTTGAACTTGAGTGTTGGCTTTTTAGTTTTGATTTCACGATTTCATTATCGTTTTTGTCGAATGCTTCCGCGAGTTTTGGAAAATTTTGATAGCCACTGACGGCAAACTAGTTTTATAACCACTTTTGTTTCGCCACATTAAGCGTAGCGGAAAGTTTTGTTTTTGTTTTTATGATTTTGCTTGTGGAAGGTCAGGAGTGCTTAGAAAGTTGCGCCTCTTACTAGTTTCCCATTGATGTCTCATACTATCGTTTCTGTTTAGGCAAAAACAACTGTGTGATGTTATCCTTGTGGCTGATGATGTGGAAATACATGCTCATCGCATGGTCCTGGCGTCCTGCAGTCCTTACTTCTATGCCATGTTCACCAGCTTCGAGGAATCTCGTCAGGCACGCATCACGCTTCAGAGCGTCGATGCGCGCGCCTTGGAGCTGCTCATTGACTATGTGTACACCGCCACTGTAGAGGTCAACGAAGAGAATGTGCAGGTCCTGCTGACGGCGGCAAATCTACTCCAGTTGACAGATGTGCGCGACGCTTGTTGCGATTTCCTGCAAACACAACTGGACGCCAGCAATTGTCTGGGAATACGCGAATTCGCCGACCTACATGGCTGTGTAGAGTTACTTAATTATGCCGAGACGTACATCGAACAGCATTTTAAGTAAGTTCCTAACGTAGCAGAAATCGCTTAAGCCATCACTAATCAACTAAATCAACGCAAGTTAAATATCTTTTATCTTTATATGCATATAGTTTTTTATGGGTAATCCTTATTGGGCTGGATTTTTCCCAGACATAAGTTATACACAAATAATATCTGTTAGGTTTTAGGATTTTTACTAAAACGTTTTTGTATTCTTTACAAAGCCATGAAAAGATGAAAAGAACATTGATCTTAGTATAACAGACACACTATACATATATTTTGAATAGATAGACAAGCATTGTTCCCTTCAATGCCAGTGTGTTCCCAGACAACAATTGGCAAGAAACCATTTGGGAAAATATGAAATACTGCCACACTATACATACATATATTATGAATAGATAGACAAGCACTGTTCCTAAGTTAAGGATTTGTTCGTAAACATGTTGGTAGCCGTCCAGGCCATGGAGGAAAAACTTGTTCTTATAAAATAGTGATCTTATCTTTTGTAGGCTTTAACCTAGGACCACATATTCATCAAATTAACCAACAGTTGTAGACATTTTTTCTACAAAGCCGTCATGCCTAACTCTTTTTCTTAATCATTCTTTCCGCAGCGAGGTTATTCAGTTTGAGGAATTCCTTAATTTGACACATGATCAGGTTATAAATCTAATAGCAAACGATCGAATTTCGGTGCCAAATGAGGAGCGTGTATATGAGTGCGTCATTGCCTGGCTGCGTTACGATGTACCCATGCGAGAGCCGTACACTTCGGCCCTTATGGAGCATGTGCGCCTGCCCTTCCTTTCTAAGGAGTTCATTACACAGCGTGTGGACAAAGAACTGCTGCTGGAGGGAAACATTGTGTGCAAGAATTTGATAATCGAGGCTCTCACGTATCACCTGCTCCCGACAGAGACAAAATCAGCGCGCACTGTGCCGCGCAAACCGGTGGGTATGCCCAAAATACTGCTCGTTATTGGTGGACAAGCACCGAAGGCGATACGCTCCGTAGAGTGGTATGATTTGCGAGAGGAGCGTTGGCAGCAGGCGGCCGAAATGCCCAACCGTCGCTGTCGCAGTGGGTTATCCGTGTTAGGCGACAAGGTGTACGCCGTGGGTGGCTTCAATGGATCCCTGCGCGTCCGTACAGTCGATGTTTATGATCCAGCGACGGATCAGTGGGCCACTTGTAGCCACATGGAGGCGCGTCGCTCAACACTGGGTGTCGCCGTGCTTAATGGCTGCATTTATGCAGTTGGTGGTTTCGACGGCACTACGGGACTATCGAGTGCCGAGGTGTACGATCCCAAGACAGACATTTGGCGTTACATTGCCTCGATGTCAACGCGTCGCAGTTCCGTAGGCGTTGGCGTAGTGCATGGTCTTCTCTATGCCGTGGGCGGTTACGATGGATTCTCTCGACAATGCCTGTCTTCTGTGGAGCGGTACAATCCAGAGCTGGATACATGGTCGCCGGTGGCAGAGATGAGCTCACGTCGCAGTGGCGCCGGAGTCGGTGTACTGCACAATATTTTATATGCAGTAGGTGGCCATGATGGTCCTATGGTGCGCAAATCTGTGGAGGCCTACGATTGTGAGACGAACACATGGCGCTCGGTGGCAGATATGTCTTATTGCAGGCGCAATGCGGGTGTGGTGGCGCACGATGGACTGCTCTATGTGGTGGGCGGCGATGATGGTACCTCAAATTTGGCTTCTGTGGAGGTGTATTGCCCCGATTCGGACAGCTGGCGCATTTTACCCGCCATGATGACCATTGGACGCAGCTATGCGGGCGTCTGTATGATAGATAAGCCCATGTGAATGGAAGAGCAGGGTGCATTGGCACGGTAGGTGTATGAAATGTCGATTATACCGAGCATTTACTAAATTTGTATTCCTTCCATGCAGTCAAGCGGGCTTACTGGCCACTGGTATGTTGGATGATGAAAACAGCCAAGCTGAGGGCACGATGGAGGGCGCTGTGGGTGGGGCAATTTATGGCAACATTGCAGCAGCTCAACAGCCTATTCTTCAGCAGCAGCAGCAGCAGCAACAGCAACAAAATCATCCGCACTATGAGAACATCTATGCACCAATTGGTCAGCCAAATAATATCTATAGCAACAACAACAACAACAATGTTGTTGCAGCCGCTAATGTCAATGCCCCTGCAAATGCAATGGAGGAGGCACAGCAAGCACGTGAACCGCAGCAACAGCAACAACAACTACAACCGGCAACAGCACAACAGCAACAAGCGTCAAATGAATCCAATTCCAATAATAACAACCAACAACAGCAGCAGCAGCAGCAGCAACAACAACAGCCACAACGGTTGCTGCCCATGAACAATTATCGGAATGATTTGTACGATCGCTCAACAGCTGGAAGTGTAGGAGTGGGCGCTAGTGGGGCTTACGATGTGCCACGTTCAGTGCGCGCCGGCTTGGGCTATCGTCGAAACTTTCGCATAGACATGCAGAATGGTAAGCTGGAAAATCTGTTACTTCCTTGTTTCATTGTAATGACCATTTTATTGCCACCAGGTAATCGTTATGGAAATGGACTGCGTTGTGCACCACTCTATGCCAGCAATCGCGGAAATTGTCAGCGCCAGCGCAGCTTCGACGACACCGAGTCCACGGATGGCTACAATTGGCCCTACGTGGCAGGTGGCACAATGCGTTACGAGAATATATACGAGCAGATACGCGATGAGCCACTTTATCGCAGCCTGGCTGCAGGTGCCCACGGCAGCAGCAGTGCCACGGCTGGCACTAATCGCATGCCGCTCTACACACGTCTAGATGTGCTGGGTCATGGCATTGGGCGAATAGAGCGTCACTTGAGCTCCTCATGCGGCAACATCGATCATTATAATTTGGGCGGACACTACGCAGTGCTGGGCCATTCACATTTTGGCACTGTCGGACACATACGGCTCAACGCCGGCAATGCCGGGAGCACAGCGAGCTCCGCTGGGGCCACCTGCAATGTTCCCACTTGTCAGGGCTATGCCAGCGGAACGGGCTGCACGGCCGGCATGGATTATGCCAATGCCAAGGTGCCGGTAAAAAACAGCGCTTCGAGCTTCTTCAGCTGTCTGCATGGCGAAAACTCGCAGAGCATGACAAATATTTTTAAGACAACGGGCGCTGCACCCAACAACACATCCTCGCCACTATCGCCGAATGTATCCATGGAGAGGGCTGCTCGTTCCGCCTCTGCTGGCCCTTCAACGGGAACCTCAGTGGAAGAGCAGGTGTGTGCGGTTGTGAACGCGGCCACCGTGAGCGTACCCGCCAATAGCAATCGCCCTACGGGCGCCATACCCAAAATCAAATCGATTACCAAGTCAAATAAAGAGACTTCATCCTCATCAACATCTGCAGCTGCTGTGGCACCAAATGTGGTTAGCGAGAAGACCGCTACAGCTGCCAAAAGTGGCACTGTGGCTAAGAAACCCGTGAACCTTTCAGCTGCACGCTCCAATTCCGCAGCAGATGGAGGCACACTAAATCGGATATCCAAGTCGAGTTTGCAGTGGCTGTTGGTCAACAAGTGGATGCCCTTGTGGATTGGACAAGGACCCGATTGTAAGGTAAGTGGAAATTCCTTCTCCACTGTTTGACGAGAGAGAAGGAAGAGTGGTAATAAATGACTTTTTGGGGGATTTCTTTCAACGAAATTAAGACTTCTCTGTTTTTTATGGTATTTTTTTACTTAAAAGATAATGTTAATAGTTTGAAATGAAACTTGGAGATGCTTACTATACATAAAAAGAATTACGATTCTATTCTCATCGAGACCGAAGTAGGAAAGCTCTATCTTCATATGTATGTACATATATGTTTATGTAATGCATTGTTTGATCAGAATTTTCAACGTTTCTTCAATTCTGGCAAAAAAAACTGATCAATATTTATGAATAGATAAAATATCAACAGGAAGAGGGTTTAGGGAAATTATATAATTTACAATCCGTTATGCAATAATTGTGTCCGACGTTTATTAATACAAATATTACAAGTGTTTTAAGCGTTGTGGGAGGAATTATTTTTTAACATATTGATTATGCTAGAATTGTGTTGTCCTATATGATATGAGTTATGTGCACAGAAATTTACTTTATTGTGAATTTTTACTCTCCTCTGAAAGTTCACGTATGTGGCACATGCGTTTAAAATCAATTGCAATATTATACCCGAATAAAAACAGGCAAGAATATTTGTTGGTTTGGCAGCAATATCTTCGTACTTATCATCATCAGATGTGTATCAGAATTCTAAAGAACTATTAACCCATAATTGTTTCTCAGCAGGTCATCGACTTTAACTTCATGTTCTCGCGTGACTGTGTCAGTTGCGATACCGCATCGGTGGCCTCGCAAATGTCCAATCCGTATGGGACGCCACGGCTGAGCGGCTTACCGCAGGACATGGTACGGTTCCAGGGCGGCTGTGTGCCCTCTTGCGGGGCATCTACGATGCGTCGCGATCAGAATGCGACGAGGCCGCTGCACAGCACGCTAAGCCGACTGAGGAGTGGTGCAGAGAAGCGCAACAACAACATCAGCAACAGCAACAGCAACAACTATCGATATGAGGATCCCTCATATGAGAATGTACATGTGCAATGGCAAAATGGCTTCGAATTTGGACGCTCGCGTGACGCTGATCAGGGTTATCAGGTGCAGCAGGGGCAACAACAACAGCAGCGACCACAACTGCAGCGCGCGCGATCTGAAAGTCCGACGTTCAGCAACCAGCAGCGACGGATGCAACGCGCTGCGGCGCAGGCAGCACAACAAGCGCAGTCTCAAAGTTCAAAGCTGGCCGATCCATTCAAGGGTTATGAGCTGAATGCCGAGAATAACACATTTAAACCCAAGCAACCAGCTGCCCTAGACCTATCTGATGAGATGGAGGGCGCTGTCGGCGGTGCCGAAGCGTTGGCTGACTTGGAATCTGAGCCTGATGTGTTAAATTTAAGTGATACCGAGACTGAAACGACAACGACGTCGACAACAACCGTGGCAGCAGCCATCAACGGTACCAACAATGTGACTCAGAGCAGCAGCAACAATAACAACAATAGCAACAATAGCAGCAATAACAACGCACAGGAGCACAACGATTAAGACTACCTTGAAGCAACCAAAAACTTGTTGAAGTTTATTGATCAAATTTTTCGATTATATTTTTTATTTTTATTTGATCTTAGCATTACTATAATTAAATTTATGTGTTTATCTATTAACATGTTTTATAACCAGCTTCAAGATCATAAACCATAATTTTAAGTAGCGGACGAAGGAATCTTACTAATGCTATTTCGATAGTGTGCCAACAGCACTGGGTAGACAATTTTACTTTATGATGATAATATTAGCTGTACCTATCAGCACATTTATTTAACACAATCGCAAATACTAGTGTGAGCTTTATAGCTGCAAAAAGAGATAAACAAATTCCGTATCCATGAATTTCATGCATTGTAAAGGTGTTGGAATATCTTTAAACCAAGTTCGATTTATTTAAATTTGCTGTTTACACTGCTCGTTTGTTATTATCTCATTTAAAATGAGAGAGGAAATCAAGTACCATATAATTTTTAATAATATTATCATTCTCTTCGATAATAATAATTATACAAAATGCTATTCCCTTAAGGCCAAAACGAACGATTTAGGCTTTGTTGCAGTCTGTGCGCTGTTAATAGGCCAAGAGCAGTGTGGACTGGCATACGGTGTTGAACAAGCTGCCCTCCTCTATAATAACGTAGATCTCACAAAATCAATGAAGAAACAGTTGGCAATGAAATTAACGCACATAGAAACGTAGGCTATGGTCAGACAGACAAATAATTTGCACACAACAAACAGCATGTCACAGTTGTATTGTTCTTTTAATCAAAAGCAATAATAGTTCAAATGAAATTTTTTATTACAATAATCCCCTGCGGGACATAATTGATGTGACTTGTAAGATTTTACCATTTTCTGTGTTAACTTATTTGACTGTCAGACTGTAGCTTTAAGCGCCATAGTATTAAGCCCAAAATGTTTGCACAACTCAACTTTGATACCGAAAAATTTATAGAACTTACCAAAGCTTAAGAACATGACCATTAACTCGAATACTTCCATTGTGTTTTTTTTTGTTTCACGAATTTTATGTCACATTCGAAATTTTTAGATGTACGAGTTAGTTATAAGCCAAGTTATCGCATACATGTATAATCGCATCTTAATGTAGTTACACATACACAAATATACATACGCGCCATATCAAGCTCCATCGTACGAGTTCTATACAAATATAGATTATCCTTAAGTAATACGCATTTGATATAACTTAAATATTTCATTCGAATATTGTTAGCATTATACATATTAATTGGCCTCACTGCCTACCCCAGATCTGTGTTTTCTCGTTCTTCTTTTTAATGGTGTTGCTAATTTATTGTGAGAAGAAAGCTAAACCACATGACATGTACCGAAATCCTCTTCTATTTTCTAATCACCTTCCTCTATATTCTTTTACCACATACGGATGTATGTACGAGTATTTCCATGGAGAATTCATGGGAATTACCATTCGAATTCCACTAGAAGCGACCGGCTTAAGTGAAGTGCAATCGGGATTCGGGACATGCCAGCAATTAACAAATTATCAGTTAAGTCAATTAGAGTAGCAGGTATTATTTAAAAAAAAAAACACAAATACGTTTAAACATACTCGTATACATCAGATAAAATACTCCGAATTACTTAAATTAGTTACATACAAGTGTATTGCGTTTAACTAATTCATAATAAAGTCGTATTGAAAGGAAGCTGTAAAAGAAGTTTCATATTGGATTCAAAACTCTTTAGAGGGTATATTTGTTTTCGTTTTCTCTTCGATTTTTTTTTTTTCAAATGGTTTTTATTTTTAACAAACTATTAAAAAATTGCATGTTCATTGCTTTTGTTGTAGTTCTTGTTGTTGCTGTTGTCGTCGCTATATTCATTTACACAGATACATAAATATATATATATATATTTATATTTATATAAAATTGTTTAAGACTAAAAGAAGTTACATAATTTAAAATAATGATAAAATATCCGCCAATACATATGCATGTTTGTATATACTCGTATATTTATAGTATGTCGTGTTTACATCTACTGCGTCTAGACAGAATTTTTCACTACGGTCGTGCATCGAAGTTGCCGATCTGATTACTTTAGCCGATATGTTTCGCTATGCTCTTCTATATTCCTAGACTCAAAAGAAGCACAAAACAATGAAGAGCGCTAATTGCGTTATAGTACATACATACTATATGTATATTGATTTCGATTCGATTCAATTCTACGTATTTATATATTGTATATAGAATATTTTGTCACTGCTTAATTACCTTTCGTTTGCTCTACATATGGAATTGAAATTTTCGCTATCTCTAAAAGCTTCTTGGTTTTCTCTCTAATTTCGTAGTACTCGTATTGTGTTTAGGATTAGTTGTAGTAGTTAGTTAGTAGGTAGTAGTAGTTATGCATATAGTATATGTACTTGTATGTATTTTGCTTTGTAGTATACTTCGTTTCAACGCTAACTTAAGATTTACACGAAACTAGAAACTAACTAAATGAAAACTCAATATGGGTAACGATTACAAATTAATCTCAGAACTATACAAAACGCTTAAAGCGCGTCTACCCCATACGAAAACCCATATAAAACTTTTGCTCGGCTCGGCCCTTTTCCTCCTCCTCTATCAAGCTTTCTCTATTTCCCCAATCGGCTTACTTGGGCAATTCGTAGATCTGGACGGGCAGCGCTTTTGGCGTTATGATCTCATCCTCGAAGTCATCATCGTCACCATGGATGGAGTAATCGTCTCCATGTATGGTGTAGTCCCTGCCGCTGTCGCTCTCAAACTCATTGGGCACGATCTCGACATCGGTGGGACGCAGAGTGCTGCGTGTGCCTCCGCCAGCCTCGCCTCCATTTCGATCTGATCTCGTTTTGGTCGACTTGATGATGTGATCGCGCAGCATGTGCGAATAGAGAATGTCGTCTATGTAGTACATGGTGCCCAAGTTGTAGACAAACACCTCGCTCTCGGTAATCTGCGCATTGTTAACGCCCGTATAGTTGCTGCCCGGGTTCCTGGTTATCTTCACATGCCCGCCGCCAATGGTCTCGAACAGCTCGTTATCTCTGAGATCGCGATTGTAGAGTCGACCGCGGACAAAGTGATTGAGCAACATTTTGACACCACGCTGGGAAGCCTATAAACTCAGGGGGATTAGTTTGAAAATCCTAAATGATTCGAAGCATTCGTTACATACCATGACATCATCGGACAAACGATCGAAGCCTAGTTTCTGGAAGGCCTTGTCCTCCGGCACAAAAAAAGTGTAATTGGCTCCAGACACATGTGGGGCTATTTCAGCATTGTTCAAATATCTGAGGACCACAACAAAGTTAGATTCAAGCTTAACATCTCTTTGCTGAGACGACAAACCTAGTGATTTGTGTAAAGCGCGGATCACGTTCGAGGGCGAGGAAAGAGTGCGATAGAAACTGAGCACCGAACCAGGGAAAGGCCAAAAGTGGCGGAGTCTCCTTATCCTTATGCATCTGCAACAAAAAGGATGCAAGTTGTAGAATATTGACGATCAGTCAACGATAATGCCATACCTGATGTAGTTTAGAGACGACAGCCTCAGACACGAAGAGCACCTCTGTTATGATGAAGACTTGATTGCCGTTGGAGAGCGTGTAGTCGGCCATAATGCTCACATTGTTCACCGTAGGCGTCGCTGTGGGCGCCCAAGTTATAAATAAGCAACTATCTGCGATAGGAGGCCCGCATACTCACGTTGTCCGTGAAAGACCACATCCTCGCCGCCCATTGTGTGCACAATCATTTGGTCCATATTCCTCACATCCGACATGCGCAGCGGGCGCTGCATGGGCAGGAAGTGATTGCGCAACACGCTCTCGGTAAACTCCTGAACGCTGAATGGATAGAAGCCCCAGTCGATGGGATGCCAGCGCTGGAAGGCATTGTCCGAGGGTATGAGGTACGTGTATGTGTTATCGTCCATAATGCGTGTCAGATTGCTTTTCGATAAAAAGTGCTGGAAAACTTTTGTGCCCGTCTTCATGTTGCCCAGAAACGACATTAGTGGACTGGCCTTCGACTCCTTGATGATGGGCTCGACTTTGGCGTGTGCATTTGTGATGTTCGGCTGCTCCAGCGGCTGGGGGTCATTGTAGCGGCTGCAACGTAAAACGGAAACGGATGTGAAAAACTGTTTGAGGATGGGGAGGAGTGTGGAGTATGAGTATGAGGGGTATGTGTGTCCGTATGCTTGTGTCTGAATACGAAAACTTTTTGCCTGATGAGCTACGCTTGAGTGCGCACTCAAGGACTCCGTACACTCACTTGTTCGTTTCCTGTATGTTGCGCTTTGAATAGGGCGATTTTCTATCACCCAAATAGCCATCAATTGCAATGGCCATCAAGTTTTCATTGATACGCAATTTGTAGAGTATCTGCTGACCATTGAGTAACCAAACATTATTGTGTGATTTTTCCAATTTACGAAAAACGATTTTGTGTCCGTTTCCATTGCCATATGACTCCTCCTCCTCCTTGCTGTTGGCGGCTGCCCCACTCGTGGCGCCATGAGGCGTGTAGCTATCGTAGATTTTTCCTGGCACCAAATGCTCCAACATGAACTCCTTTAGGCGCGGCTTCTCAATGGTGCGCAAGTCAATTTTGGGTATAATCAACGTAAAGGGTGTCGCTGCCAATCGAAATTCGGGTGAATAAAAAAGAAAATGCATATAGAATGTGTGTACATTTAAGGATATACATGCTTCGATGTTCACTAATCAATCTACGAGTACATACTAACAAACAATTCTAGTGCATTTACATATTTACTCAACAATCGATGTTTTTCATTATAAATGATCGGCTATCATCAGGCGGACCATGTATTACATAGATATTCCAGATTCCTCGTAAAAGTATGCTTGATATTTATCTACGGCTTGCGTGAAGCAATTTTGCAATTGCTTTTATTAAAAATAATAAAAACAACTTAAAACTTGTGGAAGATCTGGGACAGTTTCGCTCATGATAATTGATTGAAAACTTATTGAAATTATCTCAAAAGGGATTTAAAGCTCGTGTTTATTATATGGAAGATCGTGACTGACTTTAAATACCGTGAGTCTCATAAATATATTTGAAAAAGAATTTAAATTCTTATAACAAACAATTCTAGTCTATTTACATAATTACTCAACATTTGATGTCTTTCATTAGAAATGATCAGCTTACTGAGATATTGCAGATTCTTCGTAAAAGTATGCTTAATATTTGTCGACAAGTAGGTCTCGCGTGAAGCTCGTGACAATCCTGCTATTGCTTTTATTAAAAACTAAACTAAAAACAAGTAGAAGCTTATGGGAAATCTTATTGAAGGTATCCCAAAAGGGCTATAAAGCTCGTGATTATTATAAAAAAGGTAATGAATGACATTAAATACCGCGAGTCTTGACGTTGGTCTAGGGCTTGTGTGAAGCACGCGACAATTTTGCAATTGCTTTTATTAACAACAATTTCGCTTATGATAATTAATTGAAAACGTATTGAAGTTATCCCAACAGGGTTGTAAAGCTCGTGATTAGAGTCTCATACATTCATTTAAAAAAGAATTTAAATTCCATCTTTGTTGACAAGGGAAAATAAAGTACTGTTTGGGTTCGTTATCTAAAAAAATCGTTCGGTCTTAACAAAAGTTTGATTGAGGCTAAGAGAAGCTATCTCTATTGAAGTATGTATTTGTAGTGTATTTGTAAAAAACCTCGTGACTCTATTTCTCAACTCGCGCCAACTGCTCCCACGTGAACAAATAGCTCACTTGATGAGCCTAGCTTAAGCATTAATGCCAGTTATTTATCAAGGGTGCATTCACGACACATTTCAGAAGGTTCAGTCAACTGGTCTCAGTCGTGAAATGTCGCTTCTAACGTTCGTATTTAGTCTGCTTCAAGTAATGACAATTTGCTGTGGTTGCAACATATATTTATATGTGCCTCGGAAAGGGAAATTCAAGCGCAACCGTTCTCTGGAAACTGCCGTGACTTTGCTACACTGCGTATGGCTGCGACCCTGGTTGCTGGTTACATTATTTATTTATAGTCTACTTTTTGGAGTAATTATGGTAGAAACTGTGTCCACCAATGATCTTGGCCTTTCCTCCTTGTACTTTCTGAACCTGAGTGTCTTTCAGTACAGTAACTTTTATGTGTCCATCTTCATAACGTACATATACAGATTTGAAAAGAAACGGATAGAAAATGTGCTCAATGAGTTCGTCGGAATCTATAAAAATTTTCATTTATTATATGGTCGCTATCCCCGGATCAATTGGTTTGTATATTTCATCTATACTATGGAGTATGTGACCACGAGTTACAAGCAGTTTTGTGTCCAGGAAAAATTGGAAATACCTTTTATTAAGCCTAACTCGTTCCTTGACTGCGCACTCAAGAGGTCTGGGACCCTTTTCATGTTGCTGCAACCACTCTGGCTGTTCTTAGTTTCCCATTTGGGGTTGCTGATGTTGCACAATTGCTATGACCATGCCTGCCATCAGCAGAAACGGCAGCGTAAGCAAAAATTCACCGCCCAACAATATATCGATCAATTGGATTACTACACGGCTCTTATTAGACTGAGGCAAAACTTCGAAATACTCATTCGCCCAATAGTTTGGGTGACGTTTCTAACCGAGCTCGTGATGTGCTTACTCTGTTTTCATATCTACCAGTACAATGCGTTCTCTCCAAGCAACATATTGTCTATATTGGTTATGTCTTTACTCTATCCTTGGGTATACATTAATGAAACAGCGGCCATACGTCGTGCAGAGCAGCAATTTGGAGAGGAACTTTTTAAGTTTCGGTACACCGCGAAGCAACAACGACTGGTCGTGCGACAGCAGCGGCATGTGAGTACCAATTACTACTTAGATGTTTTTATATCCACTACCAGTAGGGTAAAAGGGTACACTAAGTTTCTGCAAAGTATATGACAGGCAGCAGGTGGCATCTCCGACCCCATAAAGTTTATTTATTCTTAACCAGCACGAAGAGACAAATTGATCTAGACATGTCCGTCCATTCGTCTGGATGAACGCCTGGATTTCGGAAACGGCTGAGCGCACATTAACCAATCTTGGTATTTAGACGCCCCTATTTATTTTGTTTTATTGACTTTTCGCCTGCTCTCCCTGCTACAGAATTTCGTCAATACTATCCACATTTCAAAAGCTACATAAACCAAATTTGGCATAAGCAATCTACTATATATATAATTATGCTTTTGCTTTAAATCATTCAAATCCGTCAATTCTAAGAAAAGTTGTTCATCGTATACTTGATAGTAGTAACACACTGTTCCGGTTATGAAAAAGGCTCCCTTGCTTGGAACATTTGAAAACATATTCGTTTCATAATCCTAAGACGATTGGCTAATATTAGAATTGTTTAGAGATGTTCTTGTATGTAAACGTTTTTGTCATAAATCTCCCTCATAAAAACGAGCATCACAGACGTCTCAAGACTCCACCCGCTTGACCTTCCATTCCGGATCAACTAGAGCCTTCCAAATCAATTTTAATTTTAATCTTCATTTAATTTCAATTTAATCTTTATTTTTGTAAGAATTAATATTTTTCGTTATCTAGATCTTAAATAAAGAAACAAAAAAAGATGAAGTAATATACGGGTACGTCCTAAAAACAGGAATGTCATTAACGATTCCAGATCTTAGATGATTGAAACATTTACCAAAACTGTGCTTCAGTAAATCGAAAGCACAGTATTTTGTAAGTAGTTGGATACAAATGTAAGCCTTTAATTTAAATATACCCAGAGTTCTCATATTGTGTTATACATTTACTCAAAATGTCAAAAAAATAAAGAGTAGATATTAGAAAAATTTGTCAAAAGGCGTTCTCGTATCCTGACTAAACAATTACTATTGAGGCTTTTGCACGTTCAGTCTAAATGTTCTGCTAACTTTCGATCAAATATGTCTGATATAATTCAAAAATAATTCAATTCTCTTTCTAGGTGCAAATCTTCTGTCTCTACAAGCTGGTACTCTTTACCCATGAAGCGAAGGGCCATGGGAATGTTTTGCTAATGCAACGCACAGCTATTTTGGAGCTACTGCATCGTGCTTGGGTCTATGCTATGTTTATGAATAGTATTCTAGTCGAGTCTAGCATTGGCTGGTCTGAGCACTTGCAGATATTGAAAGAGAGAAATGGGCAATAAAGTCAACTTTAGCTTTGGAAAAAATGTCGTGCTCACCTGGTTTTGCTTTGTAGTCGTAGAGTTCCAGAACCGGAAAACCATCCTCAATAAACCGGTAGATTTGCTGCCACTTGTCATCCTCCTGATTCCGTTGCAGGTCTGACAAGTCGGGCAACACCTTGCTTTCAATTAGCTTGGCATTCTTAAGAGTGGCATCGATGGTTGAGGATGTCATGTCGCTGCTGGTTGCCAGTTGCAGCAACAAGAGCAGCACAAATGTTGCCACCGGCACTTGCAACATTTTGCACGACATTCGATGATGTGTTGTTGTTCTTTTTATTGTTGTTGGTGTTGTGGGAATTGTTTGATAATTGTGGCACTTGTTCTCAAAAAAGTTTTATGCTTGCACGTGTTTCGTTTTTATTTTTATTTTTATTTCTTTTTTATTGTTGTTGTTATTGTTGATGTTTGTTTGCTTTTGATTGTCTATGGTACCACGATTTTATTCATTTTTGTTAGAGTTTTGGGGCGTGTTCTTCACATTGGCAGCTAGTGTCCAAATGCCTGAGGCGCTTCTAGAAGATATACACATGTACATGTATATTTAGATTATTACATACTTGAGTTGTTGAAGCAGAAATTCAGAAATTCTACTCTTTTTTTTTTGCTGAATTGCCAGCTTATTAGAATGCGAAGCACGAGTCTAGACAACGCTTAAGTTTAATGTTCATCTAAGTGTGTTTTGTATGCGAATGTCGTAATATTTTGGTCGGAGGTATGCCAGAATGGTTTGTCTGAATAAATCATTTTTCTGTAGACTACAAAAATGGCACAGTTACGATGCAGCCTGTATGACCATTTCAGGCTGGTTAGGTTACGTGTGTGCTGCTAAATTGAAAAAAAACCTGTCTTTGACACGATATTCGTGACATTTTTCACCGGTTTGACAAATTTCGTTTCCTTGACTGACTAGCTGAGTGTAACTGAGTGCTGCCAAATCGATCTTTCAGTTTCTAAGTAGTATCGGATACGAGTAGAACTCTGGGATGCAAAGACATCTGAAAACTCCTTACATTTTGACAAAAGAGAGCGTTAGCGTTGGCTAATTGGCTTTAATGTAAGTTTATCTTCATTTCTAGGAACAAGAAGATTTTTTGAGATATGGGAATGATTTGTTGACACGTTCGGTTGCTTGCATTACAGCTACGAATAGTTGGAACGTGTCGAGTGGAAAAAATCAGGTCATCCCAATGAGTCAACGAGCTTTGGGTGATCTCGTGATTTTTTATATGACTTCAGAGTCAGATACGACCTTAACTGCTTAAGCCCGCTGCTTATCAGTTTTTGCACAAATAGTTATATTTATGTATGTGTATGCATGTGTAAATATTATTCATATTGCGGATCTTGTCCAATAATAACCCATGATGTGAGGCAATTTGTTTATTTGCTGACCTCTGCCACACAAATCTGATCGCCCACAAGGCTGGCAAACTGATGGCTGGCAGACAAACAAGTGCGGCATGTGCACAGACTAGATGAAGAAGTTAATTAATTTCAATTGAAGTTGACACAAACTAAGCGACACAATCACAACCACAATCACAACTGCGTAAATAAATCCCAAGTGTGACATAAACACTTTGCGGCAAAATACCAGGAGAGATTAAATAAACTGAACTAATTTGAAAATGTCGCTCACAAAGAAAGCTAATCAATATGCATTAATTAATAACTGAGACAAGTATTTTTAGTCCGCACGCAATTTGAGTAGCACTGGAGTTGCTTTATTATTAATAAAATCACAATTGGCTGCACCTTCTTTCTATACCTTTTAACTTTTTATTGAGAAAGTTGCGCGAGCATTTCACGAACTGCTTTGCACAAATTCCCGATTCGAACTGCGCGCTGAGCCCCAAACGGGCGCAGTCACAGCTTCGAATTAAGCAGCATGCCCAGTGGAAAATGGGAAGCATGTGAAAAACCTGTTTTCCTGTGGCACAATTCCACAAAACCAGTGGCAGGCAACTAACAAGGTTGGGATACTTGATAAATTACTTCTTCGTCGTATGATAGAGGATAGGATTATATTAGGATATAAGGATAGGAACGTATTGATATTTTGAATGACCTGTAGATATTTTATTAAATAAATGTATTTTCATTCACGATATACTACACTTTTCAATTCTTAAGTTTGGAAACACAATTTTTTAAATTTCAGGAAGTTACTACCCGTAGTCCAATTTAGTCCTGCATTTTTTTAAAAGTTTTACAAGTTTTACTAAAAAGTGTGATACTCACAGATTCTTTAAAGTAAGTATTGGTTCTAATTTAGAATAATTATATAATGTAATGAGAATAAATGGAAATATATCTAAAGAGAGCTGTCAGAAGAGCAGAAAAGTATTCGTAACATCCTATTTTGGAGCTACAAAAAGAAAGAAATTCCAATCGTTTCTTCTAATAACGTTCTGTTCATTAAAAGGAAATTACATATTTAATATTAAGTTTTTTAATATTTATATAAATATCTTTAATTACATTATTCTATCCATTCTTCAGTATCTATCTATCTATATCTATCACTATCGCGAAAGTAAAGTATTTACACAAGTAAATTTCAAATCAGGTTACCTTATTTACAATAAATTGATTGCCGAATATTATTTCAGGATCTTGCTGGAGCAGAAACTTCGCTTTCTGCTTTTTAGATTTACTGCATTTACTTTACAAAATGTTTGAGGAATCCTATAAAATTTATTTTTGTTAATAAAAAAGACTGGATATTTATTTCAAAATATTGCATTTAATATATACATTTATTTTCATTTGAATTTCCACAAATCAAAATTACTAGTAATACAATGTTAATACGAGAGGAAGTCTTTTTAGTTTCCCTTTAGAACATATTGAACACATTCTTAAAATCATAGCGAATTTCATTTTCGATCCCACTGAACTATGTACATTTCTCTGTTTTGTGTTTCACGCACATTTCCTAGCGGGCACTTATCACTTATCAAAACGCTCATTATTCATGATTATGCTTTGGTTTTGTGCAAAATTGTGCAACGCTGGGCAATCGCAGTAGCCCCCAACTCGCCTGGGTGTCTGACTGCTGGTCTGACTCTGTCTTGGGTTGGCTCTTCATTGTTTGGCACAGGCTGTGGGGTCCGACTGTCAGTCAGAATGTCTGTTCTTGTTTGCCGTTCGTGACGAGCGGGCAGGTCAGCAATTTCTGTCTGCTGCTGTGGCATGCGTTACAAAATTACATTTTTGGCTTCTTGGGCTTATCTGACTGGCCAGACCCCCCTCTACCCCATACCCCCCGATACACCCGATAATGAGAGTCTCGTGCAGCTTAAGCTCGTGTATTATTCAGTTGACGTGCCATTGTTGTTGAGACTGGCTGACGTTCTGACTACTTGGTATGGCAATTGATATTATTGTCATGCTAACAGTTTTATTTTTAGTCCGACTGCTTTATGAGCTGGGGGCTGTGTGCTGTGTGCTGCTGCTGCTGCATTTTGATGCAAACCCAGCAGAGTTAATTCAATTTGTGATTGTATTGTGTGGCTTTTAGCGGCGGCTTCTTCATAAATAATTCGTAACTAAATGAGTTTCAATTTAATTGTTAATTGATTGAGTGTGGCACGGCATCAGGAACCGGTTTTGTAAATGTTACTCTGACCTGTAAAAATAGTGACGAGATATCCCATATTTATATGCCACATGTCCCATATGTGTGCAAAGTTTAAAAATAATTGCATGGGGCAAGTCAACATTTCCATTTTAATTGTTTCAAATGAAAACTTTACGCTGCAATTTTCTTTGCACTTTTCATAGCCATTGCATGATTAAAAATTCTTGCGAAACAATTTTCCGTTTTGTGCGCTTGCCAGCAAAAGCCGGTAAATCAAGCCACGCACACACACACACACACACACACACATGTGCGCGCTGAAATGTGAATGAGTGAGTGTGTGTGTGCACACACTTGTTAGGGCGAATGAAATTTTCCGAGCTTCAGACGACTCGAGCTATAATAGGGAACGAAGAACGAACGATGGCAGTCGCAGCAGCCAAATGTGTATACGAAAATAGGGAAAACTACAGACTTTACTACTACAACTACTACTAGAGAGCTACTAGAGAAAACAGCAATAACAACAACAGCAACAACAACATGAGAATCAGCAATGCGACTGGCGAAAAATGTATCCAGAGTGCAAACCAATTGAAATTAATTTGCATAATGTGAACACTGAACTGGACACTCATGCCGTGTTTAGCAATAGAAAGCATTAACGAACGAACGGAATGGATTGGATTGGATTATATTGGATGGGTCGGGCTGGGTCGTCGAATCGCGTCGAGTCGAGTCGACTCACAGTTAGCTGCAGCGCGCAATTCTCTGGATTATTCACAGTTTATTGCACTTATTTTCTTGCACAATTTTATTCGTATTTTTTTACGTTTCTCGCACCCACAAGCTAAGCATAAAAGCACCCCCTTCCCTAAACACTTTCACACAAACACACACAACCACTAAACACACGTAGGCTCTAGTTAGGCGTTTATTTTATTTGTGAATTCTTTACATTCGCGGTATTTAAACACTTTTCTCCAATTGAATTATTGCTATTGTAGATCTGAAGAATTTTCACAAATTTTCCTGGCCACCTTTTTGTTGGTTTTCGCCGCAAAGATACGCGCCTTCGCAAATGTTGCGTCTGTTGTGCCGGAAAACTGACGACAAATTGAAGCTTTCGTTGCGCTGCGTCGCTGTGTTGGGCCCGAAAGCGCTGCTGGCTCCTTTCATTGCAGCTGGACAGGGTTGTCAACTAGTTGGGTAGACGAAAAAAAATGCAATTAAAACAAATTTCAGAGACATTAATTAATTGGCAGCGTATATTTCATTAACTTTTAATTTTGTTGTATTCCTTAATTAAACATTTCCAATTATTAATGCGTAGGTTAGCAAAGCTCTTTATTTATGTATGCCACCGTTAGTTTATGCACCACGCGCGGCCAGCTTTCAAAGCTTTAGCCAACCTCAACTCTTCGTTTTGTATACAGCTGTTTGGGCAGCTCTTGACAGTCAAGACAACAACCAGACCATGCTGCCAGCTTTTAATATTAAATTGCGTATACGCACTGTTGTTTTTGAACACGTGTGAGAAAGTAATTGAAGCGCTTTTATTAAAATGGTCACAAGTGTAATGTTACTATGCAGATAAATATTATTAATATTAATATTATAATTATTTTAATTACAATTAATTTTTAATGTTTCATTTGTATGCCATCTACGAAAGGCTACAAAGTATATATTGAGTTGGGGAAAATACAATTTATTTGTTTATCCTATTTAATTTAATTTTAATTTTATTTAAATTGATTTAATGAAGTTTGCCCTCTCCGGTTGAGTTTTGACACATTTGTTTGTACCGTTGTGTTTAATGACTTGTTGCAATTTAAAGGATAGCTTCATAATAAAAAAAAAATTCTGGTCCTTCCTTGATCTACGTTTCACAGATGGAAACTGAATCCATTGCTTTTTTTGTTGTTGCAAATTCAGCTTTTCGTATGTAGATTAAAACTGTTTTATGTTAAATTTCAGACTGTTAAATGCCGCGGCGTTTATATACCGGAATTGCATCTTTTACGTCGTAATTTCATGAACGAAACCAATGTTGGTTCAAGTGCCTTAAGTATATTTTCGCCTTAAAAAAATAATGGAAATTGTCAAACGGAAAAAAAGAATCCCACATTTGTAAAATACTCAAAATGTCCACCCGTTCATCTGAATGAACGCCTAGATTTTGGGAATGTCTACCCCAAACATTATTATATATTATTATATTATTATATTATTATATTATTATATTATTATATTATTATTATATTCATATTATTGTTATTACTCAATTTATTGTTGGTTTAAGTAAATATTAACATTAAGAAACCCTATCTGCTTTCGTAATGTTATATTCAAAAGGTTAGCTTGAACTTGAATAATGACAGTAGTTATAAATTGTTCCATGGTGTTGTACTTTACAACTATTTAGCTAACCAATCGACATTTCATTTTATGAAGTCATTCTTATTCGTTTCAAATAATTAATCGGGTAAATATCATAGACATAAAGTAAAAAAAATAGCACATTCTTTTCTATTGACGTTGAGTTCAAATAAAACTTAAAATAGGCATTATGCATGCTTCTAAAATAGTGAACAAAAAATTCAACTTAAATTGTTCTCCCAAAAATCATATATTTTACGCAGATGTGGAAATTATTTATATATTATTTATTATATTTATATTTATCTACGAATGCCACTTAGAAATAGAACCACAAAAAAGCTAAAAATTTAGAATAAATGAAGAGTACTTTAAAAAGTTGGACAGTTTTAAAAATTACTTTGCAGATGAGTTGGCGTGAACAACAATGGAAACCTACAGATATATGTACACGTACATAGTATGTGTCTGTGTTTAAGAAACGTAGGCTTTATACTCGTTAATCAAAATTTCATGCCTGACTTCTAACCAACTTAGACAATTGAGAAATTTAAATATTGACAGAAATAAGGTGAAATCACGCTCACATCACCACCATGAACGTCATAAAAATTGTCCCCGACACACTTTTAATGTGATGATCAATTGCATATTAATCGGACAACATGAACAACCTGAGCAATTAATTCGCTGCTTGCCAACTACCACACATTTGTTAATACATTAATTGACGCTGCCATATTGTGCTATTTGTACAACTCTGAAAAAAGAAGGAAATATATGCCGGAATGTGCGTGCTGCTAAAAACAATAAATAATTTGTACATGTGACGTTGTGCACTCTGTAAAAAACTATTTAATGTTAAATTAATTGCTGTGCCATAAAATGCACAGCCAGTAGAAGTAGTAGTAGTGAACAATAAAAGCACCAACAACAATAGCAACAAAATATTAAATAAACTATCAAGTGTAAGTGTGGTCAGAAAATCAATTCATTTGAGTTCAAGGTTTTTATAAATTCTGCGCTTTTTTGCTCGCTTTCTCTTGTCGACGCCACAAGAAGGAGCAAAAAGTCTATTTATATATAAATACATATGTATAGTACATACGAATGTATGTCCTTGTATGTATAGAGACACATAAATATGCTAGAGAGCTTAAAGAAAAATACGACAGTGTGGCTTAAAGTCTTAGGCGGCTGAAGTGCACAGAAGGGTTTTCCGTTAGAAGCTTCCACAGATGAGGGGTTCGGTTGGTCGTGTAGTGGCGAATTACTACTACTATTTCCTTTTATTTCGATTTAACAGTGCTCTGTATGTATCAACAATTTGCTTGAAGCTGTGCCTCCCAATTTTAGTTTAACATTTATTTACATAAATTTACAGTGAAAGCATTTTAGGAAGCAGCAATCAACAAAATAACGAAGCAGCCAGCCAGATGAACAATTGTCCTTGTGCGGTGCAGTCTAAAATAGTTAAATGACATGAAAGGCATACACACACACACACACATATATATATAGACTAACAAAATGGCCAGAAAGTTTTAAAGTGCATGGTGTACGAAAATGAATGCAAACTTTGCGGTTGCCACTAAAGTGGCCCGTTTTAAGCTTTCGAAAAAGTGTCCTAACTTGTGCACGGAGAATGGAGGGAAAAATGTTGCTCATCTGCAACTGCACGGCCTCAAATATCCTGTGAGGCTGTGCATTTTATTTAAATTTTTCGATGCAATTCCCTTTTTTTTGTTTAATGCATATTTTAGCACGCTTTGCAGACACTCAACACTCGTTTTCTTCTATCCTTTTGTGATAATTTATGCATATAGTTTGCGTTGACTTTTGGCCTTTTTGTTGCTCCAGAGAATAAATAAAAGAAGCTTTGACATCAGTCGACACTTCGAATGCCTATACAAAAGGCCTGTTTTCTTAATTAAAGAATATGCTTCAATTGAGTTAGATGCTTTAAATTGATGAGGCTATGGACCTAAACCTTAAACCTATTTTTGCATTCTTTAGATAAAAATGTATTGGCTGGTTGAAGGCTTCGAATGCCATTTTTAAACATAGCGGTCATAAATTAATATACTTATGATCTATATTAAATGAGAAAAATTACATTGTATATTCATGCACATTTTCTGTTTTAATAATGTTACCCTTTATTTAATTACAAAATTATTTTTGAAGCCAAATTGTGGGGAATTTTAAAATATATATAGATATACAAATCAATATCAATTCTTCGACATATCGTGGTTATATATAATATAACACGATATTATATATCGTGTTGGTATAACGTTTACTTTATTCAGCTATATATAGTTGTTACTATATTATAGCGATTAATGATTCATGATGGGTGCTTAGCAGCGTTGCCAAACGTTCCGATTTTTTGAATAAGTAATACTATTAAATAATTATTATTTTATTTAATTTTTATTTCTGCTGTTTTACTATTTTTTATTCAGATGATGAATAAAACCTCACTATTTAACGATAGGGTAAGTCTGATTTAAAATATATTATATATATTTTTATTAAAAGCCATTTTTTATGGCTATGGTAAACGTAATTCGGACTCAATATACATACATCTTTTTTTCACTATGTTCCGTTTTTTTTTTTTTTTTCACTCAAAAAGTTTCAAAATCCCGACTTGGAAAAAAATATCTGACAACAGTGGTGCTTAGTCTCTAGTTAATGGTTTAATTTTGATCTAAACTAGAATCTACAACTCACATGCAAAACAGTAATCGCATTTGAAGTTAGCATAGTATTTATACAATAAGTTATAATTAATCACTAATCGAAGTTACCTGGTTACCAATATTAAATGATTTATGCAATAGTGTCAAATTTTAAGAAGCAGATCCAAAGCAATACCGGCTGTAATTTTAATGTCAGTTCAAAATTTTATGAATGAAATGTATTTTTATGAATTCAGTATAACACTTCTCCCAGCAGGCATACTCAGGAATTCAAATCGTTGTTGAATGCAACACTGGGCCGTGTCCCCGCGGACGAGAACAAAGAACATACACAGAATGCCAACAGATAATTGAGTTTATTTTCATTTTGGGCAATGGTAAGCGAAGGCTCTCGCCTCAGTTAGTCAGTCAGTCAGTCAGTCAGCCGGTTTGGCAGCAGCTTATCAGTGAATTGGCAGTTAGCCTTAATTGAATATTCAAATGGGCTGGGCAGAATGCTCATTGGATTTGGCTGGGCTGCTGGTTGCCAAGGCCGTTGCATTGCTTTGTCATTTATTGCTGACGATATGTGTAAAGCTGTTATTATTTAATTACGAATATTTACACAATCGTTACGAACTTAAAGCATTAATTGTTGCGAATTAAAAAAATAATTATTTTAATTGAAAGTATCTTATGTGTGTGTATCTGTGTACTCGTATTTTTTTAATGCGGTTCAACTGCGGTTTTACAATGGCATTTTGCCATTTTAACATAATTAAATTGAGAGCACAAAAAAGTGTTTAAGAGCTGCCATCATGTTTAAATCATACATGTATGTATAATTTGCATAATTAAGAGGGTGACAGACAGTTCTGAAGTAAGTGCAGAGCCTCAGTATTCAATTAAAATTCCCAATTGCCAGACCAGAACTTGCAAGTTAAAAATATTGTATTTTATTTATTAACTATCTTCAAGACACTCAGCCAGAGCAGACACATTCGCACTCTCTGCATGATGCATGAGCTCGCTGTTGGCAATTTCATTTCATTCACTTTGCCTGCCATTTCCTGCTCTTCCTCAGTTCTTTTTTGGTCCTCCCTGCTGGACGACTTAATGAAAAGTGTTCTAGAGAAATTTGCTAAGCAAATTCTAAGACATGTTTCCCCAGACGATGTCAGCAGATAGACATAGCTGTCGGTCCGTGTGGGCTATGCAAATGTAAAGATTTAAATTTTGTTCTTTTCTGAATTGCTGCTTGCCCTTTGCACGCAGCAAGTGTTTGAGTGTTTCCTTTTAACAATAAAACGAAGAGTTCATTTCCAAGTCAAAGTGGAACCCATATCTTCAAGATTAACTTAATACTTATGCTAATAACCATTAAGAGACATCGTAAACTATATTTATTTTTGGATCACCATGGCAAGTCGCGTTGCTCAACATGTTGTTCTAAACATGCCAGATTGTCCGTTCGTTTCTTTGTAGCTCGTAGCTCGCGAGCCAAGTCCACAGAGACTAAAGTTTTTGTTGTAAGTCACAGAGCAGTGTATATAGCTTCGGTGTAAGCGAATATAACTTCTTAAATGCTTGAACTCCATGCTTCTAATTGTTGATATACGTATTTTGTCTGCAAATCAGCTTACATAAATGGTCCATCTAACTTATTTCCAGCAAAGCATAAGTGAGTTAAGGTCTGTTTCTATTATTTCCAACGGGATGTTCGATCAATTCTTTAGATCTCCTCAGTCCGAATGCATTGTTATAGTCTGTACCCAAAGGGTAAAAGGCTATACTAGTTTTGTGCGAATGTATGTAACACACAAAAGGAGGCGTGGCAGACCCCACAAAATATATATATTATTGATCAGGGTGACAAGCCGAGTCGATATAGCCATGTCCGTCTGTCCGTTCGTTTTTTCATTTTTTCCTTTTTGGTGGGAGGTACAGGGTATTTAAGAGTTGAGCTTGCTCGACTTTAGCATTCTTTTCTTGCTTTTAGCTTCCTTCCTTCATTCCATAGTCCTCTCAAAAGATATGTCTGAAAAGCTGTTTTACTTAACATTTAAAGTAAATATATATTTTAAATATCGCAAAAAGCTTATATATAAATGAAAAGTAACTTAATATTAGAGGATCTATCTTTTTTTTTTATTGCTGTTTAGCCTTGGACATACCGCACTAACACACACACATTACATGGACGAATCTCTATCTAAACACCGACCTTTCTGCATTAACGTTTAACACGTAAATAATGCACACATCCTCACCTTATGCCCCATACTTCTACCATATAGATTATCTATTCTTCCAAAAATATACCCCATCACAGTAATTACAAATCAATACATAACAGTAAAAAGCTTATATTAAAAAATTAAAGTCACAAACTTACCAGAAATCTAATCTACATATGTATTCCAACTTTTTTTGTTTAATACTTTAAAATGTACATGCAAAGTTAGCTGAACATAATATCTTCTGTTAGTTTTAAGATTTTAATTGATGCTAGCATTACATCTAAATAAAAATATACTTTTCAGGAATTGTTTTGCATAGTTGGCATTGAAATTGTACCAGACACATATGTGTCTGTGTCGAAAAGAAGCTTAATAGATATAGAAATTGCACTTGAACATTAATTGTAAAATTAAATTCTAACTGTACTGTTGAATCGAATAAAATGGTTTCCCGCTGACTGGTTATAGTGAACACATACCCGTATATAAGTACATGTATAAAGGGATGCACTCTGAAAAACATTTTAAAACTGAACAGAGCTGCTTATGACAATATAGACATAGGTATTAAATGTGCAACCTTACTTTGCTATAAAAAGAGCATGTTGTGTGAAAAAATGTCCATCAATCAACAAAAACACATTCATGTGCAGTTTTATTTTGGTTTTCATTTAATGAATATTTTGATTTTCATCTTGTGTGTGTCAATAGACAAACAAAATGTTGCTTGTTTTTTTTTATGAAATGAATTTAAAATATGAATTATACAATTTCATGCTGCGAACGCAGACTTAGTCCTCTTTTAATTAGGGAAAAACTTGCCGCGGGCATTTCTGTATAGATTGTTGTCACCAAGGGCGATTTTTTTGGCTCGAAAATATCCTTCTTGAACGGAAATGACATTAATGCTTAAACTAAGCGCGCTCCACTCGCCATTATAATTAAATGCGCGAATGGCGTTGGCACAGCAGGCACTCGACACACTCACACATACAAGTACACAGTCTTACAAAATAGTGCACAGTGCAAATAATTAGCATGGCTTGGAATCCTGTGAGTAATTAAGGTAAGTCAGCTGGTGCCACGCCTTTTGTTGTTTGTCATACACCTCGAGCTCCCCCACAGCAACCACCCACTGACCCACTCAGACCCCCTCACAATGTCGCACGGAAATTAAAGTTAAATGGCATAACGCGTGCGCTTTTTAGTCGTGGTTTTTTCTTCCCCTCCGTCCAGCTTGTCGTCCATTTTGTTTAGTGCTTTGTTAGCTGAAATGTTTACAACATTTTTAGCTATTAAACTACCATTTAAACTCTGTACATGTTTTAACAAGCTGCTGTTGCTGTTGCTGCTGCTGAGCAACACTCCTGCCGGCCAATTGGTGTCACACAACGGGCTAAAGTGCAACTTTAGTGTTAGGTCAGTTGTTAAGTAAAAAGGCAATTAGTAGCTGTATTAAATATCGTACTAAAAGTATGTTAGTAGTTAGTTTATATGCGAGTTGAGACACCTATTTTCATTGTTTGCAATTGTACCTTATCTCGGGAGAACACTTCAAAGATTAGACAAGCCATTTATTGCATGTGTGAATAGCTGGTAAGAAAAGGCTAAATTATTAATTGGAACAACAGTATTAAAAAGCTCAATGCAATAGCACAGAATATTGAAACAGTGCAAAATTGAGTTTTTCAATTTCAAATTAACGAACACAGCCACCAAGTAAGAAAAGGGAAAATAGAGGAAAAAAATTAAAGAAGCCATTTGTTGCTTGTGTGAATAGCTGGTAAGAAGAGGTTTGATTAAATTGGAAAAACAGTATTAAAAAGCTCAATGCAGTATCTAAAATATTGAAATAATACCAATTTAAGTTTTTCAATTTTAGCCACCAAGTAAGAAAAGGGAAAATAGGGAAAAAAATTAAACAAGCCATTTATTGCCTGTGTGAATAGCTGGTGAGAAGACGTTAAAAAACTTTAATTATTAATTGGAACAACAGTATTAAAAAGCTCAATGCAGTAGCAAAGAATATTGAAACAGTGCAAAATTGAGTTTCTCAATTTCAAATTAACGAGCCACCATGAAAGGAAAGGAAAAATGCCCCTCAAAGTTCTTGTTGATTGAAATCAGATACTTAAAAGTCAATAGCTCGAAAAATGATTTTTAAGTTTTAATCGCGCGCAGCCTGATTTTAAAAAACCAGATTTGAACATTATTGATCACGGCTTTTGAGTGTATTTGTTGTTATTTTATAACAATAAGTTTTTAAATAAAAACACTTCTTCAATCCGAAGTAAGATTTATTCACAACCATTTTTTATAATTGTTAAAAATTCTAAAAAACAGATCGAATTTTATGCCATCCACATATAGTTAATTGCTTTTATAAATCTTTTTTTTTTTTTACTAAAATGAAGAAATCATTTTTTCACATTCCAGTATAATATAACTTTTTTTTTTGCATTGTTGTCTAGTGTAAAGCTTTTTATATATGTATGTTTTATGGGGAAACAATAACTAAGATTTAACATTTCATAGATAATTTTCTATTTGCTTGCATAACACATAAGACCCTTGCTTAGAGACTTATTAGACATTTGGGAAATAGCACATATCTATATTCTCACTTGCTGTACCAAAATTGGTCAGTCACTGATTTCTCAATTCTTCTGGCAAATTGCAGCGTGTCAGCAGGTCAACGCACTTTGATGCTCTGCACTTCTATCCAAATCGCGGCACTGCACACAGTCACGTAGGCCACCACTATGATCAAGACTTGAACAGGGCTTGCGGTGAAAACATGTATTGCCATTAGAACGGTGCCAACAAGGAAGACAGAGGCGAGGAAGAGTACCATCATGATGGCATCCCAGTGACGATACCAGGCCATTCGCTTGTCCGGAGGCTGTACATAGGTGGGCTTGAGTGGACTATACTCCTCGCGATATTGTGTCTCGTAGCCGCTGGTGAAGTCAACATCGTCGAGGGCTCGCGGTGCGGATGGCGAGGCCGTTGCAGAAGGCAGCGCCGCCTTCTTCTCGTCCGTGTCCATTTCGAAACGCGGGTGCCAGTCAACTGAGCATGAAAGAGTGTTGCTCTGTTTGCTTGATTACCAATAACGCGCCAAGTTTATCACCAACAACACAGTTGCTGTTCTCTGCGTCATTATCACATACACATTTGTTCGAAAGGTGTTAATTGAGGCGACAACAACCACAACAACAACAACCTTAAAATACTACCTGTTATATATGTGCGAGCGACAATCTTTTTGTGTTACGCGCATTTATTGTGTTTTTTGTTGTTGTTATATCTCTATTTCAATTGGTGAGTCAGATAAAATACTTCACTGAATGTGAGAGCCGCTGATGAAGAAAGAGAGCAATAAGCGTTAGTTGAAACTACAATCTTATCAAGAATGTGCCACAAAATGTTTCGACGGTCAGCAACAAAAATGTGCCAATTAATGCATGCTGTGACGTTTTCAAACTTTGTATACAAAATATTCTCATATTCTGTTGATTTTTCTGTCAGCAGCAATCACAACAAAGTTGTTTGTGTGGGTGCTTGTTTATACTTGTATGTGTGTGTATATACATATGTGTGTTTGCTTTCGTCATGGATGGAACGCATTTCGTTTCTCGTTGTCATTTCACAAATAAACAAAGCATACAAATTCGTGAAGAATGTGGGACATATGCATACAAACTTACACCCACACAGAGAGACACACATACATGCGCTTGTGTACAGATGTGCAAAAATCTAAAGCTTGTCCATATATGTACATATGTATAGTACTTACTTGTATATACATGCATATATATTGGTGTGACTGCTTACACTGCCGTTTGAAAATGTCTGACCAATTGAGATCTTAGCTTTAAATTCGTCCCATTGCCAGGCATTTTGGTTAGGATATTTCACAAATTTGTTCATATTACTTGTATTATCAAACAAGAGAGAACGCTACAGTCGAGCAAGCCCGACAGTGAAATACCCTGTACCCAGGTACACTTCCGACATTAAGGTATATGCGCCCATAGCAGCAGCAAAAAGAGGAAGAAGAGCAAACTTGTTGCTGCAGTTTGGGGAGGTTGTACTGGAGAGAATTTGTTTCGCTAATAAGTTTTCTTAGAATTAACCGATTGAAATTTGAAACAAAAGTACTCTATTGTTTATGAATTATGTGTGCAAAGTTATGGTTAATGTAACTTTTGACGAAATTCTGTAGCGGGGGAAGGAGGGGAGGGGGGGGGGGAATTAAAAAATAAAATAAAATAAACTCGTCCTTTCTCGGACCTTGGAGAATCTGGATGCCAACTTTGGTTATTCTAGCTTTTATAGTTTCTGAGATCCTTGCGTTCATCCAGACGGACAGACGGACGGACGGACGGACGGGCATGCCTAGATCGATTTCTCTCGTCATGCTAATTCAGAATATATATACTTTATGGGGTCGGAGATGCTTCCTTCTGCATGTTACATACTTTGCACAAACCTAATATACCCTTTTTACCCTAAGGGTACAGGGTATAAAAACAATTATTACACCTTTCCCGACCGTCTTGAAAAATATTAGAGCAAGAATTTAATAATTTTAAATTTTAGAACTTCAACAGCAAATTTTTAGTAAATAATTTCTTTATTTTAAAGACCGATACAATCCGTCTTGCTTGCTCAATTTATATGTCGATTAATTCAAAATGTTTATTATAGTTTTTAGGGCAAAATCTTACTTTGAATTTAGAAAGGAAATTTTGTAAAAGGTATTCATATCGGACCAATTTTGTAGCATTTTCTATATAAAGTAAGATTGCCAGGATTGTTTATTATGCCGAAGTTGTTTTCCTAGTATTGTGTGAGATAAATAGAAGCTGCAAGTGTATATACTATAGATATATGTATAGTATATAGACATATGTACATACTATATAGTATATACATACATATATATGCATATGTAATTCAAATTGGTGAGTTTATATATGTGTTTAATCCAATATTCATTCAATATAATAAATACATACATACACATGTATTTAAGTATTATGTATTATAATATATGTTAATCGTTATTTTATATTTTATTTTACTATATTTCATTATTATTATATTTTATTCTTTCTTTATATAAAATCAACTATAGAAGTATGTGGAGAATATATAATAATCAGCAAATAAAATAAATGGGCTGTTGCATATAGATAAATTTGTTTTTAAAGGAATATTCGAAAATATATTAGTAGTAGTATACATATGTATGTAGTAAATGTGTAACTATCCCCCCGTAGGGAATATTATTACTTTACAGAAATTATTTTTGATTCTTAGATGTGTTGCTCTACTTTTCAGGGCAAAGTCCACTTGATGAAGCTATGTGAAAATTAGTGTGTTGCCCCTAAGTCGTATTTTAACGTCGATTTTCGAAACTTTCACGCAATTTGTGATTTTTTGTGTGAGTCCAGATTTGAGATGTATTTCCTTGTCGAAATCATACATACAGGTAGTCAGGCAAAAGGAAAGCCAAGGCAAGGCAATGCTTTATGGTCTCATCTCGTTACATTTCTTCATACTGATAAATAATATTTAAGAAGAATATACTTGTATAAGAATATATATGTATGTATGTGAATTTAAATAAGACTCTGCTGATTATTATATCACAAGCTTTGTTCTATGACAGTTCAATTTGAAAATAAATGACTATAATCTTGAACCACATATTGATTTCGCATGTTTTTTGTTTTAAAGCTTAAAATACATTTTATTTAATTTCGAACAGTTTTATTTGTACGCTTATGAATAATTGAGTTCAATGGATATAAGCTTCATTTTCAATGCAAACATAAATCCATTGTTGTTATTTGCGCAGTATAAATATTTGTTGTTGATATTTGTGCACACTTTTTTGTTGTTCTCTGCTTCACAAATGAATTGAAAAGCAATTTAGTTTAGACAGCTAACAGGCTGCGTGTAACATTTTGCGAAAAGGCAAACACAAATCGCCAGCCAGCCAAACCATTAGTTTTAATACCCTGTACCCAAAGAGTAAAAGGAGATGGACGCCTGGCAGACCCCACAAGTGCATATGCCTTTTATTAGTCCGTTCGTCTGGCAATATGAGCACAAGGATGTGAAAAAGTACAAGAATTAGAATAAACAAACAGCAGATGTACGAAAAATTATAAATTATTATACTTATTATACATATATTCTTTTAAGTTAAAATATTATTAAAAAAAAGACCTGAAAATATTGTAGTCAGCAAACGTCGAAAGCCGCCCCCTCTCCTCCTGCTTGGAGCTCGAATTTGTGAGCTACTTCAGTTTCGTAGCTTTTACGATTTGGACTCTGCATTTAAAGCCAATCATTCAGCTACTTTATATATACAAGTATATATATATATATACGTATATTAGTAATAATATGTAGCTGTCTATTGGTTCAACACCGTTTATTTTATTTGAAACAATTGTGGCGGGGAAAAAGTTGGTTACAGAGTATTCCAGAGTCGACTTTAATACTCTGCTCGTCTTTTCTCATACGGGCATATGGAAAGATAGACATACGGATATACAAGTAGTATTCGTACATATGTATGTATGTACTTTACACAAAATAATTTTATTTATAATGCTTACATTTTTTCGTGGAATTGGGAAATCTTGTCGATAACAACAAATTTATGTAAATGCACACACATTTCTATTTATTTATATGCAAGTGCATATATACATACATATATTACATATATTTTTATGTATGTGATGGATATTTCTTGCAACCCGATAGCCCAAAGAGCTCCCCAGAGCCCAAAGAAGAATGCTTGGCTTGCAAATCTGAAATCAGTGTTTGGAACTGAAAATAAACAAAAAGAGTTTCTCGAAATTCCTTCTCTTGGCCTCGGAGTGGTTGCGACAACGATTATGCCGTTTAGTTGCATCAGTTGTTCAATCGCGTTGCTGCTGCAAAGAGCATAATTTTTCGATCGTTTACATAATGAGAGTTTGGTAAATTGAAACATACTATATGCATAAGTTTGTCAATCAACGCGTAGTGCTCACATGTATGTAAACATTTAAAGTCAGGTGAAGCAAATGCTGTTGGATGCGAGCACAGAGGAGCTGGAAGTGGCCAATGATTGCGTCCTGGATGTGGCTCAACTGGAGGAGGCAGCCGAGCTGGCCGCAGCCCAAAAGGATGCCGTGGATTTGGAATCACCCGGCCGTGCGCTATTCCCCTGCAAGTCTCGCACACCTAACAGTCCGCCATTCTTTCAAAACTGGAGCACTGTGGGAATCGCAATGTGCGTGTTTTACAATTTTTGCATTGTTCTGTTGTTGCTAATTGGATTCCTAAAATTTAAGCAGGACAAATGAAATAAAATGCGGCGAGGCAAGAACAAAGCAGTGAGTTGTCAGTGTACTTGTACTTGTGTAGCAAAATGACTTTTTAACTTTGGCTCCAGCCAAAATGAGCAAACCACCAGGAACCAAATGCCAAATGAGCAGGAGCTGGAGCAGCAACAGCAACAGCAACAGAAACAGCTGCCACTAAACGCATTTAAACTTTGCCCTTGTCAACAATTTAAGTTGTTGCCGAACTCGTCAAAATGCAGGCATATCGCTTCAACGCCTGCCGTTGTACACAAAAGAAGAAAAAAAAATGTAAATAAAAAAACTTGTCGTCAGCAGCTTTTAGTGCTTCCCATTCGTATTACTCAATGCGAATGCGCAAAAGGGCAAAACTTTTATTTGTTGCTGGCCATTTGCATAATGCAAGGCACAGGCACGAGACATGAGGTGCATGGCCAAGTTAGGGGCGTAACTTTGAAGCGGTTCAAATCCTAGAGTTGGTTATAGCTGCCATATGGTCTTGGAACTAACAAATGCGGCTTTATTTGGCTATTGAGTGCGAATGCTTTATGAGCCATCTTAATTAATTGGTGTAAAGAGTACAAGCACAAAGGCTTACTCAAAGAATTGTATCGCAGCAGAAAGTTAAGCTTAAGTTTAACAAACAAATCAAAAACTTTCCAATAGATAAAGAAAGCTAAAAACAAAAAATAATTGAACTAATTGAAATTTAAACAATCTCTGTTCTAGATAAGATACCACAATTAAGTGGTCGGCATAACCAAAGAAATTTCCAGCTTTTTAACTATTGCTAGTTGTAAGTCGTCTCTGACGAAGATTTAAAAAAAGGTTCAAAATAGATGTGGTCGGCATAACCAAAGAAATTTCCAGCTTTTTAACTATTGCTAGTTGTAAGTCGTCTCTGACGAAGATTTAAAAAAAGGTTCAAAATAGATAACTTTCAAAAACTGTTCCCTATATTGTACTTCTCCTCGTTTTAAGCAGTTTATGAATTTTTGATTGATTCTAAGAGGTTGTTTTGTGCCACAACAAACAATTTTTTTAAAAACGTATTTGTAAAATGGGATGAGTTCCAACTTTTATTTAGAAGAAGACCTTAAACTATAACTAACCAAGATGCACATGATTCGTTATTCAGTGTTTATGAATCATATTCTTAACAATCAATCCATCGAAACAGGATCATGGTTAAAGTAGAGATGCATAAAGAATGGATTGAGAATTGTTTTAACCAATGTTTAACATTTTTGCAATAAATCTTCATTTTTTATAGAATCGACTAATCGTATAAAATTAAATGCATACTGAAATAAGTAAATTTATTTTATTTTGGAGAAAATTGTGAAAAATAGAAAAAAGATCGATGCAGTTAACATCGATTATTTTGCAGCATTACTTTGAAGACTCTTCGAAGAAGAAGAATCTGAAAATGTTTTGCACATCTGAAACCAAAGGTGTGTTATTTTCCGTAAACATAATTGCGGTAACAATAGTTTTCGTGACAGTGTGCTGCGCCTACGGCTGGTAGCAGTGCATTTTCTCGTGCCGTGTCACGCCAGTCCACCGGCCACTTGAATTATGAATAATGTGCGCCCTTAGCATTGCCAAAAATCGTTCTGAGGCGCTGGAGGGTTTTGGCAACGTGCCGTCGCATTCAACGTATTTCATGGTGTTGTCGGCAGGGACTGTGATGGCGGTTCCAAAGTTTTGCCGCCACAATTCACGAAAATTTCGCACAGCCAGCGGTCAGCCAAAGTCGAAGGCGCAACTTTTGTTGCAACTTTTTGCGGACGCAGTTTTAAAATTGTTTTGAGCTCCGCTCTCATCGCCATCGCCTTGCGTTTTAATTCTGGTAATTTGCTGAGTGCTCGACAAATATATATAAGTATTATACTATATATGCATGCATACTTGTGTAAGCTTGCAGATATTCATTATACCTTGGCATTATCTGTCTGGGTGTGTGTGTGTGTGTGTTAGCTTTGGCTCGTAAATCTTGAAGTAATTTTTACTTTCGACGGCATCAAGGATTTTAAATATATATGTTCTGGTCCACTTTTGTGCGCATGCCGTGTCGTTATTCAAATCTAAGTCCACACTATGCCATAGCCAGGAGCACGATAAAAAGAATCAAAATTCATGACGCGCTATGCGAGAATTATAGCGACTTACTTGATGATGGCTTAAAAGTCGCTACCGTTGCGCTGCCGATGCTGCTGCTTCTACTGCCACTGCTACTGCTGCTGGCACTGCTACTGCTGCTGCTGCTGCGCCAGCATTTGTTTGTTGTTGCAAACTTTTTCCATCAAAAGTTTCGGTTTTCGATACGCTTCCTGATGCCAGCTCCTGTTCGCTTCCACGTCCACGTCGACGCCGACGTCGGTGCCACTGTAAAGTGCCACTTCCGCTTTGCGTCAGTGCACACCGCTGCGGAGCGTGCACAAAAGTGTGACTGAAGTGGTTTGTTCGCTGTGGCTGTGGCTGCGACAACGATGGCGACGACGACGACGAAGCCGGCGACTGTAGGCACACTGAGGTGTTAATTAACTGGGGGCAACAAAAAAATTTTAAATGCGGCGCCACCAAATTAATGAGAACGGCATGAGGGTGGGGCGTGTGTGTAATCCACACGCCGCCCAACATTCGCTCGAATATGTTGGAATTAAAATGTACGTTTGTTTGATAAAACATGCAGGTGCTTTCACAAAAACCAGAGTACAGTAAAGTACCGCTGCCCTAACTATTTAGCTTCTATAAAAGTACCACTAATTTTTAAATCGGAAAATAAGAGTTATAATCACCGAACTGTGCCAAATTAAAAAATTCATTCAAAGCATACCTAAAGTAAATGGTTTTACTTTTTTATTTTTATATCTTTAATTTTATTTTATGTCCCAAATATTGACTGACGATATAGGTAAAACAATACAAAAGTTATGAAAAAGCCTGTGTTGGAAATATTTAATTAAAATACGATCATATCTAATATCTATATATCTATCTAATAAACGCCCCCGACTCGATTAGAGGTATTTTATTTGCCTTTCGAACACCTTTGCCCCTAATCGCAGGCAAACATTTCAAATAAAAGAAAAAATGATCAAAGAATGGAAATTTAAAATTAATTAAAAGCCTAATTTAAAAATGTAATAATTCAATGAAGAAATAAAAGAACATATAAAAAATAAAAAAAGGAATCTCTGGCGAGGTGGGGGAGGATTTATTAGCCAGTCCGGGAAGCTTTCCCCCATCTCACAACCAAGACGGGGCAAATGAGTTTAAAAAAGCGTTTAGAATATGTATTTAGCTTATGCATATTTTGTTTAAAGTAACCTCTTTTGTGCTAGATAGATTGTAAGACTAAACGAAATTGACGAAAAGTAAGTAAATATGCAATTTCTTTTCAAGAAAAAATTTAAATTTAAAATTTGAAAATCCCTAAACCATTCAGAGAAAGTGGGTTTTTATGATCATAGAAATATATGGCTGTAAAAAAGTTCAACAACGGAAAACTTGAATAGTTTGATTCAGCGCGACTTAGCTGCATAAGATAAGATCGAATCTTCTCACACTTTGTTTTCTGTTTTAAGCGAAATTAACGGCTTCTCTGACGCATCAATTAGCTGTGCCTCTATGTTTAAAAAAATTTTAAAATGTAACTTTTGTTTAACACTTTGTCATATTTTTGAGCTGCCATCGAAGCTTTACTTTAAATTTAGAAGATAGCACGAAGTTATTTCTTTGTCAGTGTGTTAATTTATTAAAAAATTGAATATAATTTACAACTGCTGTCTCTCATAGTTAATTGAGGTTTATTAAGTAATTTAATTGGCTTCCAATTTAATACATATGTATGCAAGCAGCCAACTTTCAATTGTCAATAACGTTTTGTTGGCTATCGTGGTATCTGCATGATTCGTGTTTGCATTTAATATTCAATGAAGCTATTAATTTATGCAAATATGTGCGAAATTAATGAATGACTTGAACAAAGTAACGTTTTTTTTTTTGCTTAAATTTGCATGTAATTAACAGGTTATTTGAAATTTCAATTATAAAATTGAAAATAACCCTGTGTGGATGCATGCAAAATATTTCCCTCAACCCATTTTCAGAAAAGTTATATTCGAACTTTACAGTAGGTACCAGAAACTAATGCTTATACTAGTATGTATATGTGTAGGATTTGATATTTAGGGCATTAGGAAAAACGAAAGTGGCTTTAATTCTGATTTAATTTAGAGAGAGGTTTCATGACGCAATTGAATTTTATTGGTGCTTCCAATTTGGAGAAGGTAAGCTTAGGTTGCGATGACTGGTGATATTTTTTATTGGCATCTCCGTAAGGTGTTTAGAAAGGGTTTCTTTAAAGTCACAACTTTCACCTGCTTAGTGATGAGAAGCACGCAAGTGTTTGATTCTTTTTGTTAAACATTGTTAATTGCTGTAAATTGAATGGTTCACTTTGTATTTTAATTTTGCAATTAAATGAAGATTTATATAAAAAATACATTTATTATAATATTTGTAAAGTTTTTGTATATGGTTCAATTCCTTTCGGGAATAGTGCCAGATGTATAAAATAACACTCCTTATTAATATTGATAGTCATAGTCTAAACTAATTGTTGGGACGCACCCAAGTGAAAAAGCTCAAAGACTGGATTTTTAAAATAACTTATTCTAATTTGGTGTTCTTCAGACAACTGTACCTTCGCAAGTGATTAATGAACACTAATTAATTATCTTAAGTTCTTATACAAACAATGCCAACAGACTTAAACTATTAATATTATTGTGCGCAGCAATGCTTCTGAACAGACTTTGCTTTTCATTAACATAGTTAAGCTATTAAACAGTATTTATGTAAAATGATTATTCCTGTAAAAGTGTTACTTTTTGTAGTATTTGTTCGTTCGCGAATTCTATAATTAATATTGAAGTGCATTAATTTTCGTAGGTCGTGGGAATTGCGAATTCGAAGGAAAGAGCTTAAACCCAAATAGTATACTAAGTAAC